TATATCTTCATATATATATATATATCTATATGAAGTACAGGGAACAATAAGACTAGATGAGATCCTCAAAGGAATGCTTCAGACTTTGGACACTTAGGTATGGTAGCAGATACACAGTTAAATCATCAGGATACAGGGGACTTGCCTTGTGCAGGACAGTACACGTAAGAGTAATTGTGAAAGCTGTATTCATAGTTCAAGGGATGATAGCTGGTCACTGTTTGCTTTATAGAAAAAAAAAATAGCTCCTAGAACTGATATTTTCCTTTTCAGTTCTATAGTATCAGGAAATGAGGCTATTGCAGAAATTCATAATAACTTTACCCCGCCATCACTCTGCTCTATGACCCTTAAAAATTAATTTCTCTTGTGCTAAAGTTTCTCCATCTGTAAAAGCAATCCTGATGTGTTCCCCACACAAACTTTTTGAGATATGTGAATAAAATACTTGACACTGATGCTGCGTATTTAGAGGTAGGTATTAGTCTGCCTCTTCAAAAATGTTTTTGTGTTAAATCATGTTTTCTGCTTATTCACTTTGTTTTCTTGTTAGTGTTAATTTCCTTTTCTAGTTTTTATTTATTTATTTATTTATTTAGACTCCGTTCTCCTAATAGCACTACAAACAAAAATGATCAGTGGTCCATTCTTCGTGCACATGATAAAACAGAAATTTATGTGTATTTCAATACAGTGCAATATGTTTTGTTGTTCTTCATATGTTGTTACAGGTCAGGGAATACAATGGACAGATGCAGGGAGTTACCAGTGTGGGATTTGCATCCTTGACATTTGATGGAACTGTAGGAGCGCCGGTAGTTCCTCGAACCTCTAGCAAGGTGTACACCTTCATGGATGAAGAACAGAAAACAGTAGAAGAGTTACGTGTTTGGGCAGCCAGTAATCTTTCTATCTCTGGACCAGCAGCAAAATTGTCTGGTGTTCAGCCAATGCTGTTCTTTGATCTCACTTGCCAGCTGGTAGGAAAAGCAAAAGTGGATGGATCTTCTTTTCTTCTAAAGGTAGATTTATATTTTTTTTAATAATTTGTTATGTTTATTTATTAAGATATTGTAATTCCGTTTTCGATAAAACAGATGTTCATTGATTTAAACAGTTACACAGATAAATATTTCGAGGTTATGCAAATTTACAATCCTTAACAATTTTATTTCTATGAAAACAAAACAGAAATCCCAGTTCTCTTTAAAGTTGTTGATCTAATATATTTCTTTAAGAGAGGTTTTGTAAGATGGCATTGGTATGGATAATCGTTTTACAAGCACTTGTAGATAAACATAGCAAGATTTGTTAAAATCTGTTTCTGGACAAAGTAAAATATTGTTAGCTTTAAGTTTTAACCTTGCTTTTTAATTAGCAGCAATTATTGCTCGTTTTTCTAGATCTGCTGCATATAACTTACGCAGTAAGTACCACTATCTAGAAAATAAATGAATGGGTTATGTTATCTATCTTGATTGATTTTAGGTAGGTTCTTTTAGCTATAAATAGGCACTTTGGGTATCAATGCTCACTGAAAGTACAAAATGCAGAGTGCCAGACAACAGGAGAGTGCTTTCCAGGGGTGTTCCTTCTCTTGTGCAGAACAATGCATGCACTACACAGAAACAAACCTTAAGTGTCATTATAGAATGTGCTTTGCAGCTGTTACAAATATTTCCATTTAATTATCCCTTGTGGAACAGATGTCAAATGAGACCTAGTAAAATTTCAGAACTTTGTGGACTGTAATTAAGCTGTTCATTAATAAGTATATGTTCAGCATTGAAGGACCCTTTGCAAGGACAGAGAAAAATGCTTTCTCAAATTATTGATATTTCTTTACACTCTTTTCTGTGTTGTAACATCTGAAGTCAATTTTGGCAGTTTTGCGTAGTAAAGATAATGACTTGGGGGGAAAAACTAGATAGACTTAGGAAGGTAAAAGTTTGAAATGAAATAACAGTAGATCAGTTTTTTTGATATGTAATTCCTTTGGCAGTATATATATATATTTTTAGTAGTATAAAATATTAAATACTTAAATCCATATTAAAATACATCAGACAAGTTTAAAAATGGTAGTTTAACATTGGTATACTATTGCTAATTTCCTCCATTTTTCAAGCAGGGTAGAATCTTTCTTATCAAATATTGGTCATGATAGAAGAGAAGCCTTTTAAAAAATTGTTAGGCAGATCTACAATTATTTTGTTGATTCTCTAAACAAAAAACAAAAAAACACCCAAGCCCAAGTTCAGTACCTGCTCAAATTGAGTGATCATTAAATATTAAATTGTTTTGGTTATATGTCTTATAATAATGATTTAAATTTATCATGTCATTCCAATTGTATCAGTTATGTTAATGGTATAATCAACCTACTATAAAATATAAGGATTATTTTAAGCGTTGAGCTCATGTAACTAGTGGGAATTGCTTCAAAGACAGCTAAAATGAGTTTCAGTGCTTTTGTGCATCACTCGTAGCATAACTTCTAATCACAGAATCACAGAATGGTTAGAGTTGGAAAGGACCTTAAAGATAATCAAGTTCCAACCCCCCTCCACTAGACCAGGTTGCTCAAAGCCTCATCCAGCCTGGCCTTGAACACCTCCAGGGATGGGGCATCCACAGCTTCCCTGGGCAACCTGTGCCAGTGTCTCACCACCCTCACAGTGAAAAATTTCTTCCTAATGTCTGGTCTAAATCTGCTCTCTTTCAGTTTATAACCGTTACCCCTTGTCCTCTCACTACACTGCCTGACCGAGTGCCTCCCCATCTCTCCTGTAGCCCCCTTCAGGTACTGGAAGGCTGCTATAAGGTCTCCCTGGAGCCTTCTCTTCTCCAGGCTGAACAACCCCAACTCTTTCAGTCTGTCCTCATAGGGGAGGTGCTCCAGCCCTCTGACCATCTTCGTGACTCTCCTCTGGACTCGCTCTGACAGGTCCAGGTCTTTTTTTTTCGTTGGGGGCCCCACGTCTGAACACAGTACTCCAGGTGGGGTCTCAGAAAGCAGAGTAGAGGAGGAGAATCACCTCCTTTGACCTGCTGCTAATGCTTATTTTGATGCAGCCCAAGATACGGTTCGCTTTCTGGGCTGCAAGTGCACACTGCCGGCTCATGTTGATATTACATGCTAATATTACATGTGATTAATTAATTGCACAGCACCTGAGGCTGACGTGGCATAAAGACAATATCACTAACTTGGTAGTGCTTACCTTGTTCTGAGAATTTTGTTATTCAGATTGATTGAGACTAAAAAACTTACACTATAAATTATTCTGTTATTTATGCTTTTCATAAGAGTTTTAGTATTATTCTTTTCTTCTGTCTGTCAGTTAAATTGTCTATGTTGAGCTATGTCATAAAATTAGCACACTCTGCTGAAGAGAGAAACAGGTTTCATTGTGTCTCTCCCATTTCAGTGTTTTGCTGACCATAGTGATCAAAGTTTGTCGCTAACTATTCCTTAACTCCATTCTGCTCATGAGTAGTAAAAGAACTGTTTGCTGTTTCTTACCCAGAATTAATTTAATCAGTGATGGTTTTTAGACCAGTGTTGGTTTTTGAAACCAAGTCTTCTGTGTTTTCATCCATAATTTGAGTAAAGTAAAGCTGGCAAGCTCCTGAGGTAGAAAGCTTGATCTGTTTTTATACTTGTGGAAGTGAAAAACAAAACCAACAACTTTTCTAAGGATTTTTTTTTTTCTTGTAAAGAAAGCTTACTGGCTTACAAATTCCTCCAAAAGGTGCCCTAACACTAGCACCATTAGTTCCTCTGGCAAAGAACGTTTTAAAGCTAAGAAGTCATCTTCATATCTGCCAGGGAGCATTCAGGTTATTTCAATCCATTTGTCAGATCCATCTCTTAAGTGTAGAACTATCAAAGTATCCCAAGTAAAGCAAATTGAAAAATAACAGCACACTTGACAAACTTAAGGTTCTTTATTTTGTCAAAATGACAAAATTCATGATATATATATATACACACACACACACAAAGTCTGTGTTCTCAAGCTCTATTCTGGAAAAGATTTGATAATTCAAGCCTCTTTTTCAAAGGTGGTTTTAAGTATTTCATGGTACAGGATCAGAAGATAATAGGCTTTTTTTTAATCTGTGGCAGCACATACCACCTTATTATCTGGGTCCTTCAGAATGCACTCTTATTTGGGAACATTAATTTGATGTTATGGGTCATTTTCACTGTGAAGAGTTTTCCCTTTTATCTCTTCATTTGGGATGAGTATTTCAACCATACGTTATTCTCAAGTGTATTTACACGTGGTTTTGCTGATTCGTAGATCTATTCCTGTGGGTCCTTTGATCCACAACAGTTAAGAATAAGGGGTAGAAACACTTTAAAAATTAAGCTTTGGTGTCTTTTTTTCTCCCCTTCTGCAGTGCCTGACATGGCACAAAGTGCCTTGGTATCACAAGCTGTTTGAAAATTAGCTTCTGTTGAACCTGTATGTGTGAAATCCTATGAAATGCAGCATTTCAGTCTTATAGTCCAAATAAATGCCTCTAGATTTTTCTTTCTCTGTGACAGTATTTCAGACTATTATTTCTGGTGTCTTTGAGAAGAGTATATCTTCAGGAACTCAAGAAACCATAGTTTACAGAATATACCATAAGCAGCTGACACTGAAATTTTAATGTTTGATTTAAGTAGTAAAATTTTGGTTCTACAGTGGCAAGCTTGTTAGTGATCTTACTTTTTCGCAATAACTTTAATAGCTCAAAAATACCTCAATTTTTAGAATCGTCGTTATTAAGCACATGTTAAATACTGATGTTTTTCTGATATGTTCTGGATAACTTGCAGTGTATACTCATGTAGGAGATTAGCAGTAATTAAGGGACTATATGTTGTGTACTCAGTCTTCGCATACTGTAGCTGGAGTGGTTTAAAAAACCCTATAGCAGAATTAAAATATTAAATATAGACAGTTCTGCATATGGTGACTTCTAATAGTTGTAACTGCTGGATAAACAGTTGAGGTTTTGCTAGCACTGATTTTTTTTTTTTTTTTTTAATATTAACAAATCCCAGGTCTTAACACTTGATCATATTCTCTGTAGAGGCTATTTTATACTCTGTGCAGAATAGTATTTTTTTAAAATCCCATAAAATCTAATTTAAGTAATTTAAGGACTTTACGGCTGAGACTTAAATTAAGATTGCTTATTGTTACCATTTTTTAACCAAACAACAAATCTCTTAAAAAAATAAGTTATTTAAAATCTCAGTCTAAAGTATTCTAATGATATTGAAATAGTTCATTTGCATTGCAGGTGTGGGATGGCACAAAATGTCCCTACCCAACATGGAAGGTCCCTGTGGAAGCAAGAGACCTGGAAGGAGAAAAAGTTATTCTTCATCAGCTGCGAAATCTAACGGTGGACATTCTAGTCTATGATAACCATGTACAACTGGCAAAATCACTTAAGGTAATGCACAGTTTAGTATTTGTAACTCTCATTTTGTGGCTTATTATATGCTTAGAGCTCACTTCAGAGAATGTATCAGTTCCATTCTGCTGTTAATCAGTTTCAAATATTCCTCTTTATCTTTCACTGTTTTTCCCATACCTTTTACTTTAATGCAAAACTCCTTCAACATGTGTAAAACAGCCACATTATCCTAAAATTGCCGTGAAAAAATTCTTCCAATTAAGCAGTTCTTTCCAGATACTCTAATATCGTATATAATCCTGTGAAAATAACACACTTAGAAAATGTTTCCTATGCTTTATAATTATTTTTAAATTATATAAAGTGGGGTTAAACTTGTAGTCCCATTAAAGGCCCGTAATTCTAAAGTCAATAAAAGATTTTCTTTCTATAAACTTATGCAATTTGCAGTGCAATCTTCATTTAGTGGGTCAGTAATGTTGATTATGCTTATATAGAGAAAACAACAACATAATTAAGCATTTGATCTTCAGCAATACTGCCACCTTCCTTCTGAGTACAGTAGATTAGCAAAGAATTCATCTTTCATTTTATGCCTTGCCCTCTATACACAAGCATCATTTTTAAGAAAGCGTTTACCTGAAAATAAATATAAGTGATAGCCATTTGCTAGGCTGGGGCTATCAGCAGACATGAAATCAATTTGATATATTAGTGCTTATTCATAAGTAAATTACGATAGCAAAATAACTTGCCTTCATGTAAGAATTCATAACAAAAGTTACTCACAGAAGTATTTAATTACTTACAGGTTCTCTTCCAGAATTTTTCTCTTGCTGACTGGTGCAATCTATTGATAGAAATAACTGCTGATGTTCCAGTGAAGCAATGTTTTGAAAATTAAGGGAAAAAATATTTATAATTAATAAAATGTATTTTCTTGAGTAGCTGATGATACTCCCTTTGTTACTCTCTCCCATTTATATTCAGGAATTCTTATTGATTATGTGGTCCATGGGTTGTCTTGATCAGCTTTCTCAATTTTTTTTCTTCCTATAAGCCCCTTTTTTCTTACCTGTAAACCATCTGTACCTTTGCTGGATATTGCACTGTGTAGCAGAAGCTCTAATGTCAAAGGAAACCATTAAGAAACCTGGTTTGACCTCCTGAGCAGCATGGGCTGTTTTTCTCCTTCTGGCTATGTCCAAAGTTGCAGTAGTTTCACTCATGCAAACTGTAAGAGTTTTAAGTTTAGATCATTTTTTAACACCACTTTTTAGGGGATTGTCTTAGTGGAGTTATTGAAGAAAATATGCTGATAACCTAACAGTTAAACTTAAGGAAGATTTATTAAGTTCAGATTTCAATGCATGCAATTATTTTATTTCACAGAATAATCTAAAGGTAATAAAATTTTGGGGTACTCTTCATAAATGAAAAATTTAATAAAAGGAAATAATAGTAGCAATCTCGTTACGCAAAGATTTTTTTAAAAAGTCATTTGTGTAGAAATATAAAACTGGAGAGCGTTTAGTGTATGCATGTGCACCTTCCAAAGTGTGAACATGAGAACAGTGTGGACAGAAACTGTAATAGATGTTTTGCCTGTTTATGTTTTCAGAAACAATAGAAGTGCAGTATTTTTCGGCCATCTCTTCTGCTTTTAACAGTAGCTTAGAATTGCCTTTTTAATGTAAATTGTTACGGAGTTGTTAGGTTACGCTCTCCCATGTTGTCATGTACCGTTTGCAATGACAGTTGCAGCTCTGACATGATGTTTTATGTAGGAAGAATCTGTTTTACTCAGCCTTGATACCAAGATGGGCATATCGGGGTGGGGGGAGGAAAGAAAAAAAAAAAACACCAAACCCTGAAATATTTGTTCTTATTTTAAAATTGTATCTGTAGGCAAAACTTCAGACAAGGAAGCTCTGAGTAAGCACTGCAGTCTAGAGAAAGTGAGTAATCTATTACAGTGAATTTTTAGCAAATCCTGGAGCACAGAAATGGGGATATTCCAGAAAGAGTTGGCTAAAAGCTCCTTATTTGGATTGTCTGTCCAGAGAACACTGAAGATCGGAGCATTTCCTGAGACAGTCAAATAACATTTACAATTTTCAATGAAGATAGCCTTAATAATATTGATGGTACACTACAGTTGTTACCGTAAGTTGACTTTTTGTCCCATGTATTTACTGGCCTCTCTTTCCTGCTGGATAAGATTGTGGCTTTTCAGTGTTTGCTGCCTTAGCAGAATACAAACAGAATTTTCAGAAATCTCATCTCTGAAGTAGTTTATTTCCTGGGGCATACAGACATAAGCAAGAGCTACAACTAAGCAGAGACAATTGGCATTCACTGTTTTTTCATAAATTTTCCTCTTCGTCTTGCTCTGACTACCTGGGATGCATGAGGCTTTCTCAGTACTGTAGGAACCCCAGCCTGCAACTAACTCCGGAGTACAATTGCTTCCCATAGGTTGTAGTTGATTGTTCTTGAGCCTTTCTTACTGCAGTTTTTTCAGAGCTTCTCAGGATTTACTCAGACCTTGCCATACAATTCAGAAATAGGTCTGTGACATGGGTTTCTCCATCTGGGGTGTTTTGCTAGATGGTAAGCATAAGGTGAGTGAGCATCAGTGGTCAGACAGTGCACAGTAGGGGTCCAGCCGTCCACAGCGGCTTGGTGATTTCCTTGTGTCCTGTCATTCATTGCATATGCGGTACTATGCATTCCTCTTATGGCTTGATACCATCCATTTTGTGTTGCCATGTGTTTTCTGGATAGTACAATTAAAACAATTTGCCTTGAGCATGCGTACAAGAAGTCCTAGTCCATATTCACAGTATTTGCTTTGTGTTATGTATCTTCAGATGCAGAATTTCAGTATTTTCAGCTGTTCCTCCCACTGTATCCAATTGGATTAAGAAGTCTTGCTTGCTTTTCTAGTGTCTGAGTCACATTTCCAACCTGCCACTTAAATGAGTTACATGACTGCAATGTCTAGCTTCATATTTTTTAGGTCTGGGTAGCATTTGTTTGACCTCTTAGTGGTATTTTCCCCACTTCTGTCTTTGAACTCATTAAAAGGGAGAAAAAAACAAACCACAACACCCCCCCATCCTAGTCCCAAGTCCTCTAAACCTTTTAATGGATTTAAGTTGGTATTTTTTAGTGCAAAGGACCACACCAAATGTTGTGTATATGCTTCCTCTCTTTTGCAAAAAGTTGTGCACAATTTACTCCATAAAATTAGACTGTTGATATGATGAAATTATGACAAATCTCCTTCAATATTATCAGCCATAAAAAATTAGTACAGATGATTTTAAGTGATTCCTGTAGATAAAGACAGCCTCTTGTCATGAATGTCTTCATGGCAAAATGTGAACATTTAACTGCCATGATAAATGACTTTTCCAAATTCATCACTGTCTTAAATGTGAACACAGCCCTATATGTTTTGAAGTAGTTATGAGACTTTTCTACACTAAAAAGTTGCTGTAGTTGGCTAGTTACAGGGATCTGCATATGTGACTTCATTTTAATTCATTCTAGCCTTAACATGTATTTTTAAAACAGTCATATTTGAATTAAATTGCAAATAGGGTACTAGTATATTTCATATTGCAGAAGAAATGTGTTCTTATTGCTTGAATTTCATTTAAATGCGCTTTCTCTAAACGAGGTAGGTAGGTCATAAACAGAACTGCTGTAAAGTCAGGTAAGGAGTTGGTTTTGTACTGGATTTTAGTGATGGCTCTGTAAATCATGGTGTTTACTTGATTGTAATTATAATTTCTTTTCAGTCAAGTATATAAAGTGTGCTCTGTCTGCAGGCATTCTGTAAACAACAGAAATACATTAATATTTTTAGCCATAGCACCTGCATTTTCTTGACACTGTTAACAATAGGCAATGCTGCCTCCCAAAGGAATTCACACAAATTGCTATTAATTATATAAAATAGTAACGTTTTCAGAAAATGTAATGCATATAAAGGAAGATAAATTTTTATAGTGATCATAAATCTTGGGAAGGTGAGTGTTGCAGTAAAACATGTAATTTGATTGTCTTTTGCATTAATTCCAGCACACAGGTTTAGAAGATAAAACCAGCATTTTGTACTCTTGGCTTCTGGGTTCTTCTCTCCTGTGTTTAATGTTTTATGTTTGTACATATAATAAATAATCATTTTTTTCATACATTGTTTTTGAAAGAAGGAAATTCTTGAATTATAATCAACTTTTTCCTGCTTATATACAAATTACTCTTGAGAAAAAAGAAGTAGCTTGAAACGATTATATTGACATAAGGTTATTTGACAAGCAGAAATTAGCTAAGGACTTTTAAAAAAAAAAAAACTTTCTCCAGAAGCATTTGTCATAGTCATTAGGTTAGCTCTGTAATATAACTGTCCCTTGCATTTTTGTATATTCAACATAATTAAGTGAAATTTGCCATCTGGAAAGAAAAAAAAAGCCTCAAGCCTCTTAACTGCTATCTAAATGCAGTCTAAATGCACAAGCTCTCCTGTTGATATGCTTTGAATGAACAAAGTGAGCAGCTCCTGATGGTGCAGATCAGTTAAAACTCTGGTAAGAGGTCCATGCAGAAGCAAAATAGGTACAGGCTGAAATGCACTTTTTATGTCCCTGGTGCCTGAATTTGAAAATACGCCGCCTTTTTCATGTGTGATTATTGTTTAAAAGAGCAGTTTGGTACCACCATTATATATTCACAGACTGTTCCTTGATCAAGAGGAGGATTCCAGAATTAAGGTGCTTCTCTGTCTGCTTTTATGTATGTATACGTACATTTGTAAATGTCATACTAAGACCTGGCCAATCCAGTCTCATAGGAATACGTTTTAGGTTTCTACTATTTAAAGCGGGAGCTGAAGCTGAAATAAGACTTAATAGACTGTCTGTTGTAATATTAATGTTAGTTGAAGTAAATTTAAAATAATTTATAATTTATATAGGGCTATTTAGAAGATGCTTAGAGTGAACATAATCCAGATTATTGAATGTGGCTATCTTGCCAGCTGTCAATGGGATTTTAGGTTATAGTTTTAACTGCAACTAATTTTTTTTTTTTTTTGATTCAGAGGTCTTTAAAACACATCAAAGGGAAATTAACTATATAATTAAGTCTCCATATTATCTACCTTTAGAACCTTAGCTTTGGTTTGGTTTTTGGGGGTGTTGGGGTGGAGGGATAATGGGAGTGATATTTTGAAATAAAAGCAAAATTATAAAGATCTGTTCGATGTTCAGTACTCTGTAACTTCTTTCTTAATAAGTACTTGTATATGTTCCTCATGTACCTGAGGAGAAAATCTAACAAAGCTAGAAGAGTGCCAAAATCTTTGAATTTCTATCATGTTACCTTTTGTTTTGGTGCTGAAAAAATGTTATCTGTAGTGTAAGACTAAGTTATGATAAACAAATTCGGGTAAGCAGGTGTGTTTGCACGTATATGTAACCAGATAATATGCTATGCAAGATGATTGACATGAGGTCTGTTGCTGAGTGTGATCATACATGGACAATCACAAAACATCAGTCTCTGGAGGGCTGTGTTGGCAATATAGAAGACAAATTGTGCCCTCAGGAAAGGAATATATTGGCTTGTTTGATCTGTCTTCTGAAGTCTGCTTGAGAATCAGATTTAGTAAGAAGACTTTTGATGGTTCTGAATCACCTTTTGCTGCCAGTAATGTTGTCTGATAAAGCAAAACAAACAGGTCACCCAGAGAGGTTTTGGAGTCTCCATCTTTGGAAATATTCAAAACACAGCTGGAGACAGCCCTAAGAAACCTGCTTTAGTTGCCTGTACTTTGAGCACAGGGGTTGAACAAGGCACTCTCCAGAGGTCCATGGCAACTTCAGGTATTCTGTGATTCAGTGAAAACAAGGAAGAAACTTTGAGGCCTAAAATTTTCCAAGTAAATAGCTAACTTTGTGTTATCAATTTTTTTATTTTTTTTTTTTTAAGATTGGAAGTTTTCTGAGAATTTACAGTATTCATACAAAACAAGCAAGTGCTGACAATGAAGATGTTTCACATGTAGAATTTCATCTTCATGGTGGCACCGGTTATGGTCGAGGAATAGGAGTCTTACCAGAGAGTAACCCAGATGTTAAGGAACTAAAAGCGTAAGTTCTATATGTTGGGGTTTTTTCTAGATGATTCTGGAAAACTTTAGGCTAATGTAACAACTTTACAGTTTAGAATTATAAATATATGTAAGAACCAAAAACTCTGGAACAGAATATGTCTTTAGCACCACTAAGATGAAGAGTAAGTATTTGGGGGGGATAGATGAATAAAGGCTAATTTTTCAAATTTAAAATACAGTCGGGATTAAGTTTTCTGGTTTATGGTGGTGTAATAATAAGGCCTGGCCATAAGAAGATAATTATTCTGTTTTATAGTGGCATATAATCTTTTAAAGATAAGAGCTGTGGTTAAGCAAATAAATTGAGCACCTTTTAAGCATGTGCATATGTGTTACTTGGAGATGGTGACTTAGAGATGTTCAAAATGAAACATGTGACATAAATGCCTTACTGAACTGTGTTATATACATAAGGAACCATAGAATCATTTAGGTTGTAAAGGACCTTTAAGATCATTGAGTCTAACCGTTAATATAACACTGCCAAGTCCACCATTAAACTGTGTTCGTAAGCACCACATGCTTACATCTTTTAAATACCTCCAGGGATGGTGACTCCAACACTTCCCTGAGCAGCCTGTTCCAATGCTTCATAACCTTTTTGATGAATATTTTTTTCTTAATATCCAATCTAAACCTCCCCTGGTGCAACTTGAGGCTGTTTCCTCTCATCCTATCGGTTGTTACTTGGGAGAAAAGACTGACGAGCCACCTTGCTACAACAGGTAGTTGTACAGGGTGATAAGGTCTCCCCTCAGCCTCCTTTTCTGCAGGCTAAACAACCCCAGTGCCCTCAGCCGCTCCTCTTAGGTCTTGTGCTCTAGACCCTTCACCAGATTGGTTGGTCTTTGGACACACTCTGGCACCTCAGTGTCCTTCTTGTAGTGAGGGGCCCAAACCTGAATGCAATATTCGAGGTGCAGCCTCACCAGTGCTGAGTACAGGGGGATGGTCACATACCTAGTCCTGCTGACCACACTATTTCTGATACAAGCCAGGATGCTATTGGTCTTCTTGGCGACCTGGGCACACTGCTGTCTCATATTCAGTCACTGTCGACCAACACCCCTGGGTCC